TGTTTTGCTCTAGGTTTGTTGGGTGATTTGCTTTTCGTCTGTTACATGTTTTTCTTTGAATTATTATTACTAAAATGCCCCTATTACCGATGTTCTATCTAAAAATTGAAATATAAATTTTTAATTGTGCGTAAATAAATAATGCTAATAGGATGGCCCATAACGATCCCTTTGAGATATAACAGTCAAAACCAACGCGGTTATGCCCCAGTTGCAAATACCACAAAAATTCCTTTTTTGTTCTGGAAAGATATTCAAAATGAAGCGATCGATATTAACCGACTGACACTATATCGTCAATTTTTATTTCCCTCTGGGATGTATTTTTATTCAATAGTATACTTACCAGCAAAATACGTTGACATTTTTGATATTTTCGTAGATGCCGCACATAAAAATAAGATTTATTTTTTACTGATACTTTATTGCTTGTCATTGTTTTCGATAAGGGGCTCGATATACACTGAGCAAGTTACCTGGATTAAGAAGATCGGGGTTACAAGAGAAAATGAAAACCGTTCAATGATGCTACATGTACTCTTATGAATGGGATTATAAAAGGAACATGTGAAAAGACGAACCGAGTCAAGTCAACATCTAGTTAATTAGTAATCAAGTAAATCTGAATCAATATTATTAGGTACAAAGCAAAATCTTGTATGTACCACGGGCGTTTGCAGGTTCTAATAACCTCGGGCAACAAAACGCCTCAGGGTCAAAGTCGTTTTGTCGCCGTTCGATCATTAAATCCCTTTTAACGCCTTTGGTGCATAAATAACTCTTATTTTACACAGTACCTGTACTGAAAGAACATAGAACATTAATCAAACAGTAAAGTTTTTAAGCCATTTATGAATAATAACTGTAGAATAACTAAATCATTTTATTATTTGTGTGCCATCGCGAAACAAGGAATTACATGTTATAATCCTGGAGAGACCTTCACAATCTCTTTCACAAGAAACCTGAGAACATCGAGCTTGAGCGTCCACTGATAAGAGAGGTCACCGCAGTCGGCCATTGTGACGTAGCGTGGAAGTATCAAGGTCACTTTGAAAGTAATGACGTCAACATTGCTTTCGTTCAGGCTTCGACAAACAATGCTTCATATCTCTCATCTTCACTTCCTTTCCCTCTCTGTCAATAATACAGTTTTGTTCTCCGCTATGTCAAGAAAAATCCCGTTTAGTAAGAATTAAATCTGTTTTCGAACATAGGAACACGAAACTTACTTTTAAAATCTTCTCATTGAACCAATTCTCAACCTCTTTCGCCGTCTATAGTTACTTGGTAATTTTTAATTTCTAATAAGCAAAGACATAGGATGAGCGTACCACATACATTAGAGGTAACATTAGAGTCTACAAATATGTCACAGACCTTAGTTTCTCAATAATTATTTAATTTTATTTCTGACTTGCGTTGGAAGATTAGTATATATTTTACTCAGTATGATTCCCCCATGACAAGTAAATAATGTATCTTTCAAACGATCCCTGTCGGAATGAAATATCCCACCATCACGATCACCGCCAGATTATAAAAGCAGAGGAGACCATCCTTGGAAAATACGATGTAGAAAGCAAAGAACTGATGTAGG